CTCAGGCTGTGGGAAGCCTTTTCCACTCTCCCTGGCAGTCTGCACACTCACTTGTTAATAATATCCAATCCATAAGCCCCATGCCAAAATCTGTTTTCTCCTTACCAGCTCCTGCTCCAGGGTACCGGTGAGCTGATTCCTTTTAATATAATTTTTCCAAACTTCAAGATGGAAAAGCCTAAAATTAGAAGGAAGCATTTGCAAAGACTTCTTTCATGTGTGTCCTCAGGCTGTGAGCTCCAAAGACCATCCTTCTAGAACCTCCCGTTGGAGGTCAGAGGGAGTCTTGTGACGCTCCTGGGACCCACCTCCCGAAGTCCCTTCCAAAGACAGAATGCTTTCTTTGTAGCAGGCACTTCCGTTCACCATTCAGAGTGGTGCAACATGACTTATCTCTTTGTCCCAAACCCACCCAGGGTGATGTCCCATGTCGTCTCTCCTCCTTAACACCAGGGAGCCTCAGATAGCTGGAGGCTGAACCCCACTCTCCTTCCATGGGCAGCAACATGTCTAGAACATCAGGAAAGGCTGGACTTATCTGATGTCTCCAGACCCACAGCACGCTGCCCCCATTCTTCCACCACTCCATAAATTGCCTCAGAAGCCGGGGTTGCCAGCTTGCCCTTCCCTTTATCTGAGAACACAGACTGGTTCCCCACCACAGGATGAGGTGGAGAGGACCATGGCTGGCTCTGCCTGTTGTTCCTCCTTCTCTTCTGTTTGGTGGGGAAGAGTTGAGAGCTGAGGTTCCCACAGCAGCTGCTGGGGAAGGGAACTCTGTGCAGCTGGGCAGGGCCAGAGCTAGTGGACTGCGACCCCAGCCAACCCCACGACCCGTGCCCTTTGTGAGAAGACATAGCTCCTCTGTGCTGAGAGGTTTCCATTTGCTGCCACACGCCCATCCCTTCCACACTGGTAGCAACAGGTGAGCCACCTCGCTGAGGGTGACCTCAACCTTCATCTCAGCCTGACTTCCTCTGCCAAGAGGTCCTGGGTCGGGCTGTATTCACAGTAGCTGCAAGCATTCCTGCTGCACCCATTCTATTGCTCCTGTATCCACTGGCAGGACCCCAGCTTTGCTACACTTGTGGGGTGAAGGCTCGGGGAGGAGGTGGCTGGACATTCTTGTCCAGTAGCGTTGGACAGCCAATCCCATTTTTCATGCTGAATCCTACTGCTATATAATCTTACAGAAACCATGCCCATCCTTTACTGGTAGAAAACTACCTGACACTCAGCTCCAGCAGTTACTAGCTATATGACTCAGAGCAGGGATTTTTTCCTCTCTGTTCCTCTGTTTTCCCACCTGTAAAATGGTTTCCTTGCTGCACTGAGTGAGCAGAGCAGGTGACCTCACTCGCAGTGCGGTGAGGAAAACAGTTAATACACCCAAAGGGAGTTGTGCCCTGCTGGGATCAGATTACATGCTTGGTCCAAGTTGTCTGATGCCAGCATCATCACAATGGGCTTCCTCTGTGCCCCTCTCCCAGCTGCAGTCCAACCGTGGGTTGACGAACGTGACCTTCACTCAAGCACCTCCCACGACCCACCTTTCCCATCATCCTCCTTTATTCTCAACCTGTGACAATGCTGTGTCCCATGCTTATAGAACTTCTTCCCTGGAGTCAGCCCCGCTGACCAAGCCCTTCTCCTCCCACTTAATACCCAAGTCAAAGACCCATCACCAAGGTCACCTTGCCTCTACTCTGTCCCAACATGAGCCCTGGGCCTTGCACTGTCTGCAGGCTGAGCAGGTGTCCCCCTGGTCTTTCTGCCAAGGATGCCAGCCTGTCCTCTCCTGAAGCAGCTTAAAAATCTATACAACGGCTGTGACCCGATTCTGTGACTGCACTTATATAATGCTGCATCCTCAGCTCCCTTTGAAGGAGAGGCCTCGTGCAGAAACTGGCCTGAAACACTTGAGCCTGGCCTCGTCCCAGCACTTTGTCAGACCTGGTGCTTACCCAGCAGTTCAGGCACCAAGATGTCAGCCGGATGGTCCTGGTCCCCTCCAGGCGGGAAGATATTCCAGGCACTGTGACTGCCTGATCTGAACAAACCTGTGCTTGCTGGCACTGTTCTCTCAACAGCCTGGCTGCCACGTGATGGTGCCGCTCTTGGCCACTTTTGTGACGAAAGGTGTGGCTCTGAGGGGCCACCTAGAGAGGGAGGGTGCCATCTGGACAGACACTATCACTTCACTGCTACTGAGTTTTATCGCACCCCAGAAGTGGCCAAGAGTTGCACCATCTCGTAGCAGAGACAGAGACAGAGAGACAGAGACAAAGAGAAGAGTCAAATTCCAAGGACAGAGGAAGATGCCTACAATCATACTAGGCATAGAAAACACTGAAGGCAAAGGAGGAGAATAAATCTACCCCCATCTCTTTATCCAGCAATCAATACAACTAGTGTGGGGCAAAGTTTGCAAAGGAAGAATTCAAAACTTAAGAAGTCATTCTTTGTGATGTAATGCAACAGAAAGACACCCAGAGGTATATGTAAGTTTTCGGTACGGCTTTCACGTACCTTTCCTTTAAAATGTTATACAACTAAACTGTAAGTCAAAGTACAACACTCAAGAACAGGAAGATGGTATTATAAAACAACTGAGAATAAGCCCTGAAAACTTTAAACAGAAGCAGAGTGAGATAATTGTCATGAATATGGTGACAAGACCATGAGGATGGCAAATAATTCTTGGAGAAAAAAATATGTAATAATAAAAAGTTCTAAAATACAAAGATCTCAGACTATACAAAAACCTGGAGTGCAGGCAAGCAGAGAAGGTGGAAAAAGTTAAACATAGAAACATTCGGGGCTGGGGGTAGCTCACTGTCAAAGCATTTGCCCAAAGTGTGCCAGGTTTTGTAACCAACACGGGGCAGCGGGGAAGGAAGTTTTGTTTTCTTATGATAACCTTCACTGGATGTTGGTAAACTGCTTGAAATGTTTTTGTCTTATTTAATATGCATATTTTGTGAGGCAAAGATCATCCTCATTTTATAGATGTCAAAATGGATGGAGTGAAGTTTATCACTTCTATAAATAAAAGTTTAAAAACCTGAAAATGTGACACACATGAGAAGGAAGACAGCATGAGAAGGGTTTACAACTTTCAAATTTTAAAAGCTGGGCATGGTAGTGCACGCCTGTAATCCCAGCACTCAGGAGGCTGAGGCAGGAGGATTGCTGTGAGTTCAAGGCCAGCCTGGGCTACAAAGTAAGCTCAAGGCCAGCCTGAACTGCATAGCGAGACCCTGTCTCAAAAAGACAAAAACAAAAACAAAACAAACAACTTTTAAGTTTTAAAAATCATGGATTCTTTTTTTCAAATAAGGATTTAGAACAAATAAATGACATCACTGGTCTTTTTTTTTTGTTTTTTTTTGTTTGTTTGTTTGTTTTCCGGTACCGGGAACCGAACTCACGACCTTGCACTTGCCAGGCAGGCGCTTTTGCCGCTGAGCTAAATCCCCAGCCCGACATCACTGGTCTTGATTTGATGTATCCGCACCTCTCTGGACTTCGGCTTCCTCATCTATGAAGAGGCGGGATTTCCCGCCCAGTGGAACGTTTTGGGGGTAGCAAAAAGATGCTTTGTTTCCACCACAGTCCTGTGAGTCTTGGAGGTTTGAGAGTATAATTTCTAAGAGCTGAGATAGTCATCCCCAAATTCTGGACCCAGTCCAAGGACTGGACCAGTCCCAGCGGCACCAGTGTACTGGGCGGGCCTGGTGGATGTGGGAGTGCGGCAGGAAGGAGTCTCCACTGACCCTGGGATGGCAGTGCCGCCCCGCACTGGCCCTTCTCTCTCCTGGTCCCAGCGTGTCCTCTAGGGCAAAGGACAGGGCAGGCTCCTCCCTGCTGTCTGCTTCTGGAGATAAGTCCTTGATGACCCTCTGCAGCCCCACACTCCGGAGATAAATTTCCTATTTAGGAGGAAATCCCGCACCCTGCCCAGTGGGAGTTGCTGCTTCTCCCACCGTGGCAATGGTGGGAAGTGACCGCACCCACCCTCTCCAGCCGGGGGATTCCAGCATCTGAGAGCTTGGAGTTGGAAAGATAAATATCACCACTTGTCCCTCACTCCCTCTTTGTCCCTCTTTAGCCACAGAATAGGAACAGGGAACTGCGTGGGAACCCCTCTGCAGGGATGGCAAGGGAAATGTTGCTTAAATCATACTCCCAACTCCTCCCTTTCCTCTTCACTGACACCCCCACCCACCCACTAAGAGAAAAGGAAAAAACAAAGCATTGCTCCTTATTTCCAAGGTAAGCATCACGAGCGTGGCCCTGGGAAACCCTTCCTCTTGTATGTCTGGACTTGACCATCAGTGTAGTAAAATAGTCCTCAAATGGGGGCTTAGAAATGCTTTTCTGTTTGACAAGCTACCACCTACAATGAGCTGCTTGACTGCTCTGTGGCCTGGTGACCTAATCCATAAAATAATCCAATCTCCTCTGCCTGCTTCCTAGGGTTGTTAAACCAAAGAATGTACCAAACCTAAGTTCGGTTTATAACTGGCAGGGTGCCCATCGCCTTGAAAGAATATTATCTTTAGCCCCAACAGGCCCCTTCCCATATCTTACCTGGCAACAAAGCTCAGTCTTTAATGTTTTTCTCAAATGTGAAGGATGATTCATTTGATATTTGCAAGCCCTTTTTGGACAGTTTTCTCCATCAGAGCAGGTCTCCCTCCTAAACCTCTGTCTTTGACTTCTTCCCATCCTTCCCCATCCACTGGATGGCCCTGTCCACCTAGGAAGTCTTCCCGTTCTGCTGTCTCCTGCAGAATCAGTGTCTTTTTCTAAACCCCTCTGGCGATTGCTGTTCCCTTATCCCAGCACTGATCCTACTACACCTCACACTCAAGCTCTTTCTACACCAGCACATCGCGCATGTGCTTTCTGGACTGACTCTGAGCAGTTTGTGGGCAGCACCATCTCACACTGCTCCCCAGGGAAGGGCTGAAGTGAGAGCACAGGGGAGCCCCATCTGTGGTATACACATGCATTTGTGTGCATGGATTTATTTGGGGGAAACTTATCCCTGCTATTTCCCAAAAGGATCAAAGGAAACAGTGAGAACAGAACACAACTCAGGAAAGAGAGTGCAAGCAGAACCGTCTGTCTCAAGGCACCTGGGACGCGTTATTTACTACAGCAGAGGGCCAGATTTATCTCTGGGTTTCCTGGATGAAAGGGAAATGTGCTGGCTCCTACGCTTCTCGTTGTACAATGAGTCTGGAATCAGAACTGAAAGAGCAATTTTTCCTGGCACCAAGTTCAAGGAGAAACTTATCAAGCAGTCTCCACGTAACAAGCATGAGGTAACGCAAAGGAGCGGCACCTCCAAGGAGAGGTTGCAAAAGGCCACTGATGTCTCCTTGTGGGCGATTCCTCTGTCTGGAGTTCAGAGAGAAGGGATTTCTGTATAGAAACAAGATGCACGGCCCACATCCTGAGCTCACTGTATGCTTGTGAAAGTCTTGAGAATCTGAAGGAAAGAAAAGTCAGTGTGAGTCTGTTTAATATCAGACCTCAAAGACCCCCTCAGGCTCTTCTAAAGGCTCTTGGGAGGCAGCTTACAACCATGTAGACTGACAGAGCCAGGAGCAAGCAGGAAGCTGGGACCCGGATCATAGCACAGGCCAACACCATGTGGCCAGCACATGTTGAGCAGGCAGGGCTATGCCCACAGCACAGTCCTCCTGCCCTGGATGATGTCAGAGGACACACGAGGCCTGGGTAACCGCAAAGGACACTAAATAAATGTGATGGCCTCATGAATGTCATGAGAGGGAATGAAAAGTGGGCGGGGACATAGTTCGTGACCATATCAAACTGTAAGGACTCGTTAGTCTCTCTGTGTACCCTGGAGAGGGTTGGCAGCGGGAATGAGGAAGAGATAGACAAGAGCTGGGTTAGGTGGAGGCCTCTTTACGGGATGGGTAAGAGGACCTCAACAACAACAGTAGGGGCATTTATTCATACTTTTGCAAAGTTAGTATCAGGAGACACAAGGTTGCCTAGTGACTAATGACTGAACTGTCCAGGTAAGATGCTTTTCTCAAGACAGAGGTAGCTTGACAGCTTTAGGCACTATGGCCTTATCTTACCTCCACACGTTAACCGATTTCCAGCTCCAGCCACTCCCAACATCAAGCTGAATGTTAACTCTACCAAGATGGTGGGCAAACCTGCCTGTTTCCTGGCTCAGGTGGGGCTGGGCAGAATGTGTGCGCCTTATCAGTTGACCTTCAGAGGCAAGAGAGGAAGGTGAGGGCTGCTGGCTCACCTCAGCCTTCCCTTCACCATCTTGGCTCAAGGGCTCTCATCTGCAGTTACTCTGGATGAAGCTCTTGTGATCTTCCCTTCAGAGGTGGTTGCTTGTCTCGGGCTCAGGGGAGCTCCAGGTCTCAAACACCCCAGGAGTCCACGGTCTCATCAGCGCAGCTGCTGATGGGGTGGCATCCGGTTTTAGCTTGAGACTCCTGTCTGCTGGGCGCGGCGTCTTCTTTTGGAGAAAGGTTCCTTTCTCAGTATCTCTGGTGCTGGTGAGACTTGACAACTCAGGTCCCAGGGTCACTGAGGCCACAGACCTCATAAGGTGGACAGACAGACTTCTATTGTCCTTGTCTGTTAGTGCCACAAGAGAGAGGTCAGGGAAAAAGCAGCAGCACAGGTCAGAGAAGGGGCAACCAGGGTGCCCAGGAGGAAAAGCATGTCTGATTTTCCTGTCCCATGTGCCATTGCTCTGTTGGGCAGCCCAGACAGACACTTTGCAGCCCTGCCAGGGCGTTTCTGTAAAGCGCTTCCTCTGAGTTCTGCTCAGTGGCATCCAACTGACAAGACTGAAGACACCCTGCAAAGGGAAGGTGCCAGAAGGAGGGCACTACCTCCACTGCACAGAGGAGGGTCACCTGAAGATGCACACTCAGTCCTGGTTCACAGGAAGTGACTCTGTACCCCGTGAGACCTCGACTGCCCTGACCATTGTCACTGTCATTACCACTAACAACAACCGTGGTGAGAACAGTGCTGTGTGTGTGCGTGCCACAGAGTCAAGGATAGAACTGTGATTTGTATTTTCCCAAAGGCAAGTAGACCTTTCCATCCTTCAGTACACCAGCACTGACAAGACGTCAGAATCGTTATTCTTCCCTTTGACCAAACATCGGGAAGCCTAGGGGACTGACAAGGGTCCAGGGCGAGTGTTTCTCTGGGTGGGCACCTGTCTGTTGCTTCTTCCCATACCAAAGCCATACCTCCCCAAGCCCAGGCCCCAGGCTGCCTGCCCAGCTGACCGCCAGACGGCCAGGTCCTGCATGATGGACTGTTGCTCACTCCTTGGTGGCTACAGTCACTCCCAGCATGGCCCCCTGAGGCCTTCCTCTCCCCCTGAGGGACCTCACTGGCGCTCACACATGCATTCTGCAGGAGGCTCTTTTCCAGGGAGTCCTGCTCTCTTCCTCCAGTGTAAACCTGCTCCTTTCCCAGCCCCTGGGATTCAGCTCCCTTTATTTGAAGTTGAGTTACCTTCCTCCTCCCACTGCCTCAACCTCTGACCCCTGGACCTTGACTAATCCATCCTACTTGTCCTTCAAGCAGCCAAATTTTCAAAATGCAAGCTTTCCCCGCAGTCTCAGTTACTGTCCAAGGAGCAGACCCTGCCCACAGGAACGAGGCCAAGGGAGTTGCATGGGGAAGCAATGCAAGGACCTCACACATAGGGCAGTTGAGTGTGACCTGAGGATGAAGGAGGAGCCTGCGTACTCACTCAACTCCTGCCAGTCACTGGCTGAAGACTGGAGATGGGGAGGACACCAAGTCCCAGCACTTCCGGCTATGTGGGGGGTGACGGGGCAGGAAAGACCCAGGTCCTGGCAGCCGGGAGTCTGGCCAGAGTGTGGAGAAAATTACGTGCTCTGGGGGAGCACGGAGAGCATCTCCAGTTCTGGGGAAGTCCAGACCCTATGGCCACAAGCCCGTCACTGTTGAAGGACCTCAGGTAAGAGAAAAAAAAGTGTGTTTTCATTCTGCTAAAGAAAAAATCCAGGGCATCCAGGCAACTACTTGAATAAATAAATGTTAGATGCTTAATAATTCATTCCATTAAAGATGGTTTCATCCTCCTTTCCCATGGGACCCAGTGCCAGGTCTCCCACGCAGGGCAGGTCTGCCCCTCTCAGGGGAGAAAGGCTACACAGACGTCCTGGGTCACTAGGGTTCCAGGGGAAGCAGCTCCTTAGAAGTCACCTGCAACATCCACTTGTCCACCAGAAGGCCATGCCAGGCTGCGGGACCTTGAGTCACGCTGGCTGTGGGTGGACAGAAAACAACTGGGAAAAGCAGGGTAAAAGAACACCAGGAGACAAGGGAAAAAGGAAGGAAAGGGAGAGAAGAAAGGAAGGCAGAATGGAAGACCAGCCAGGCCAGAAAATCTGCCAGATCTTCCCCGGCATGTGGCTTCCTCAGGGAACCTGTAGCCCTGTCTAGAGGACTTTCACACACCCAGGGTATCTTCTGCAGGCGCCCTCTGAGGGGCTCTCTTTGTTTTGCAGATAAAGAAAACAGGTGTGAACTGTGAGGCAAACCTTCAGGGGAGGATCTTAGCGGAGCCCAAGCCTTGCTCCTGGTGCGCCTGCAGGTCCAAGCTGCCAAAATGCCGGGAAGATCCTAGTTCTATCTCCGGGAGGTTTCTTGTAGACCATAGACCACTGTCTTTGGCGAAGTCATTCAAGGCAGGCTAAAATCGCTTCACTTTTTTTTCTTGTTGTTTCATTTTTTTCTGTTTCCCCTTTCACTTACTCTCTGTCTCTTTGTCTGAAAGGTTCAGGCTTTCTGAGAAGCTTTGGTTAGGTTTCTGCTGTCTTCCTCCCAGCCCCAGCTCGGCTGGGTTCAAGGAGCTATAATTACCAAGCAGGACGCTGGCACTGGGCAGGGTGGAGGGAACACAGCTCATTCAGGAGGGGCTGACGAAGGAGTGGCCTTGATCCTGGCGGCAGCCTGGTTCTAATCTTAGTAACAACAGACCCGGACTTCCTGGAGGGATCAGATGTCTGTGTCTCCCCGCTGGGCTGACACCAAACATGTGGAAGAGATTCAGATCCGCAAGAATCGCTAACCCAGATCACACCTCTGGGGCATCTGGCCCAGCTCATCTCTGAAAGTGTCCCCACTTTCTTAATGAGGGGGACGCTTTCTGAGACACATTCTGAGATCTCAGCAAGCTCCTTGTAAAACTCCCTAAGCCTGGAGACAAAGTCAGGATAGAGAGAGAACAGGACCAGCAGAGTCTTCTGGAATTCAGGTCCTTGGGCTCCCCACGTCGTCACCCTCCAAAATTGTGGGTGTAGCCCGGCAATAAACTATAGTATTTCCTGGGTGAATTACTGGTCATTCAGAAATATTCCTGAATAATTTCCTCTACTAATTCTGTACTTTAAAAAGGAATTCTGTACTTTTTAATGGGGTAAAATTTGTGTATTCTAACATGCATAGACCTCATGTATATAATTTGATGGATTTTGAAAACTGAACCCACCCTCATTAAGATGAAGAACGTGCTCGTCACCCCCAGAAAAATGCCACGATGCTCCACCTTCTAGTCAGTCTTCCAGTCAGCTCTGAGGCAAGCCCAGCTCGAATTTCTGACAATATAGATTCGTTTTGCTGGTTCTTCAAGTACAGGGAATCATGGCACTGGTGGTGAACAAGATTCTAACCCTTACCTTCCTGCAGGCTCCATTCCAGATGGTCCAGTCGTGTTTCTCTTTCCAATCCTCTCTTGCTGGGCTTCATAAGAACTCATAATGCTGAGTCTCTGTCCCTGTTGTAGTCAGGGTTTCCAAGGGAAAGACTTAATACAGGACACACAATTTATAGGATTATTTTATAATAGTCACCCAAAGAGTCAAATGCAAAAGAGTGTAGGAGGTCTATTCAGGAATTAGAGACCTAAAGAATCCAGCTGAGGGCCTGGATCCCACAGTAATGTCCTGCATGAGTCCAGCTAAAGACATAGAGCCCATGGCAATGTCCTCCACAAGTCCAGCTGGAGACCTAGAGCCCACGACAATGTCTCATGTGAATTTGTATCAAGGATCTGCACTGGGAAGGCCCAAAGGTCAGTGGTGGAAGCTAGAAAGTCTGCTCCAGTGGGATGAAGGATCTGTGCCAGCAGGCTGAGGAATCTGTATTGGGGCCAGGAAGTGATGCTCAAAGTAAGGAGCAGAGCTCCCCTGAGGAGAACTGCAGCCATCCTCAGCGATGACAGCAAGCCCTGAGCTCCTCCAGGGATAAAAATATCTGAGTTCATAGCAGGAAAACCAGTGTGACAAGCTTCTCCAGGAGGATCAACAACACCCCATCTTCCCCTCCAGTTCTCTTTTTATGCTGTTGGCAACAATCCTCAAGTGAGCCTTCCACACCCAGCACCACTCTAATCCAGTTCAACTGGGTGTTACAAATTGACCAATAGATAATCTACCACAGTCCCCTAAACCCATGATGTGGACTTGAGCCCTCAGGGTTCCCTGTTCCACTGTCAAGTCAGAAATCACTCAATCTGATTTCCTGACCTAGTAAGACCTGGGCCTCAGAGCTTTATTTATTCTGTTCTTCTAGATCCCTTAGGGCAATGTCTGTAAACCTCTCAGTTACCTCAGAATAACTCTTCCTCCTACCATTAAACCAGATGTGTTTGGCTAGAAGCCTGCCTTTTTCTTCTTACCTTCTCCCCAGTTGAGCTGTTGAACTGTTGGTCAGTTCCATAGAAACTAAGAAATATATTTATGTATATTTCATTTTGTGATCCTGCCAGGCAGGGATTTTCTACATCTATGCTAATGTGAAAAAGTTGGCACTGACTACAGATTTGTGTCATACTGCAACATACAATGTAAATGGGGATTACAATTCTACCAGCTACTGGTTCTGTTGAAGTTTTGTCCTGGTGTGTCCGTGGCAACTCAGGGGTCCCAGTGGAAAGCTATGTGCCAGCCAGACTTCCTTGGGGTGACTCCTGCTTGGGGTTACCTGTGCACAGGCTTCCCTGAGGGACCAGGGCATCTTGCCTCTGCTTCCCTGCATGCCCTCATGCTATGCTGTCACAGAACTCTCAGAGGTACTCGAGAGCATCTATATTCCCAGCATCCAGCAAGGCCTGACTCTTAAAGATTTAATCCCTGGAGTACATTAAGTGACTCTGGGGATGAATGAGAGATGGAGTCCTTCCTTCCCTGGATGATCTACTATAGATCCTCTAAGGACCTCAAGATTAAGACCTTTCCTATCCTTAGAAAATCTTGGTTCCAGGATGAATAACAAAAACCAGAGGAAAATACATCACTTACTGAATTTTTCCAGTGTCACTTAACTCTGGATTCCTTAGACATCACCCTTCAGCACTCTCATCTCACCTGAGTGTCCCCATTTTGGATACTCCTGAGTTTTTTCCCCAGGTTCTCTTTCAACACTCTATCCTTAGTCTTTGTCCAAGGCTTCCTCTGGGTACCCAGTTCACTGCACTGCACAAAGTGAAGGAGGACTTCACTCTAAAAGGGGCTTCATTTTCTTTATGTTCCCTTCTGTAGCCATAATCTTATCAGCAAAGCACCCTGTTTCCTCAGCCCTCGGTCCCCCAGTTTCTTTACCCCTTCCCCTAGGCCCCTAATTTTGTGCCACTGGGCCTGCATTGCTTTTGGGAAGCAGAAATGTCTGCCTTCCTCTTCTCTCCGGTCCCCACTCCAGGCCAGCCCTGCCCCACAGAGCTCTGAAGTCTCCCATTAAACATGTGATTCTTATCTACAGATTTTCAGCTTGTGAGTTTCTTCTCCACTCAAAAGCCAAGATGAATAATCATCCCTGTGTAGAAAATAGCTGCTAGGGAGCCCTGGGCCCCGTGTGGCAGGAACCCAAAGCTTCAGTCCCCACAGCTCCTGAAACCTTGCCTGAGGGATTTCAGCCCCCTCTGGGACTCAGTGCTACAGCAGACACAAAACAGAACTGGTCCAAAGAAGCCGTGGGCTGGAAGTCACAGAATCGGAGCTAAGAGTCGTGACAGACGTCCTGGACCAACTCATGTGTTTTTAAAAAGACCTCAGGAGGCAAGCATGGTGGTGCACGCCTGTAATCCCTGCACTTGGGAGGCTGAGGCAGGAGGATTGTTGCAAGTTTGAGGTCAGCCTGGACTATAAAATGAGCTCAAGTCCAGCCTGAACTGCATAGAGAGACCCTGTCTCAAAAAGACAAAACAAAGGCCCACAGGAACCGGGCTCATCAGATCACACAGCAAACAAGCAGTGAGAATGTCTGGGGCCCGGAGGGCTGGCTGCTGGGAAGCCATCGCTGAGGTGCTGTGCTGAGATGAGAGGCATGGAGTCTTCCGGAGCTTGTGAAGACAAAAGCAAATCCAGGGTGTGTGGATGTCATCGAGGTTGTGAAGCAGAGCAGGCAGAGGCTCTGGGCAGAGCTCCCGCAGAGGCAGCTACATCTCCTGGGCCTGGGGACACAAGGACTCCACCAGGTGGGAACTGTGCAAGTGACCCGGATCCTCAGCAAGCACAGGGCGGGTGTGAGGGCACAGGTGTACTGACCTGACGCCTGTGAGCAAACACTGCACACAAGGAGGCTAGAGGAGAAACAGAGTTGCTCAAAAGTGTGTGTGCACATGTATGTGAACACGTGTGTCTGTGTCTGTGCATGTGTCCTGTCTTCATGGGTTGGAGTGCCCATCAGTATGTGCAGAGGAAAGAGAGTGGAGCAGGACTGCACCCCATGAACCAACACCCAAGCATTTGGATCATTTCCCTTTGCGGGAGGGAAAGTGTAAAAACAATACAGCAGCAAAGAAGAGGTTTGAGAATGAAGAAACAAGATCTCACCCAGCCCTATTGCTCAACACAGCAGCTGTCACCTTCCCGTCCCCTCTCTGTGCAAATGCAAACACTGTTTGCACACCGTGGTCACGTGTGTAAATCATCCTTCAATCTGTTTACTCAACACAATGCTAGCAGCTGGAGGCCAAGGCACCATCGTTTCCCTCACAGCTGGGTATCTGTGCTGCCTCCCAGCTCTTATAAAATTGAAGTATTTTTTTCTTATGAATTATTCACTTAGGATAAATTCTCAGGCATGTAAGTCAAAGGTCAAGCGCTATTTCTGACTCTTGTTGCATATTGTTTTAAAAAGGTCAAATCCCAAAGAGTCCCAGCTAATGATATTCCCACCTGGGAAGTGGAAGGGTGCCCACTTCTCCGGAGCTCTCCCATGATGAAAAGCCGATGTAATGACCCAGGCGTGCCTGGCCCTCCAGGCTCAGCTGCCGCTCTAACACTCAGGCCAGGCTTGTCGCATCCCACACACAGATAATGAAAGAGCCATTTCCCAGAGAAAGCATGCAGTAACCAAAATAAAATGAGGTATGAAAGCAACTTTCTCAAGGAGAAAAATCAGAACCGATAATAAATATTTTAAAAGCCATTAAAGCCACAAATTTGCAAAATGGGAGGAAAACCCACAATTTTTACTCATCACCTAACACCTCTCCATAATACTTTTTTCCTACATGTGATGCATAGCTGGTTATTGTGATGCATATTATAAGAACCAATCCCCAACTGACAAGCCATTCTGCCTCTGTACCTCGTGCTTGCTTATCCCATATAAGCCGTAGACCACTGGAGACCAGGGCCTGATATTCTGGCAATGATCCTAAGCAGTGCCCATCAAAGTAAATAAATCTGCCTCCAAATCCTGGATGACATTTTGGTGTTTCTGCTTACCATTCCATCTGATGTGTCAGCTGAGAAGACCAACAGTGCTGACCTCTTTGGTCACTGGTCGTGGCCCTCATGGACAAAGCAACAACTTCTCAGGGCCTGATGGGAAGGCACACCCTCAAGATTTCTCAAGTCCCTTCAGAGGTCTGGAAGAGGATTCCTGACTCCCCACTTGAGCAGCTCACATTGGACCACAAAGGG